TATATATATATATATATGCGTGTGTAGAGAGAGAGAGAGAGATATATATATATATATATAGTGAGAGACAGCGCTGGCTTGCTTAACATAATCTCGCGCGCTGCTCACACTAGGAATTCGCTGTTGTGACTGTCTCATCCAGTTGCTCCGGCTCCTGCTCCTGCTGCTGCTGCTGCTGCTGCTGCTGCTGCTCAGTGCTCGCCGTTGACTTGGCTGCATTGCGCGTGGCACGCGAACGCTCCCATTCGGTTTTGTGCTTGCGCTTGGTGTGATGATACATATTCGACTTGGAGCGAAACTCTGTGGGGCAGAAGGCGCAGGTGTGCAGCTTGACGCCCGTGTGTGTGGCAAAGTGTTCCTGCAACAGCAATACAAATACAAATATGAATTCAATTGAAATTGATACTATTATAATGGAGCTGTTGTAGATGCTGCCCACCTCCAGATAGCGCTTCATTTTGAATGACTTGCCGCACACGTTGCAGGCGTATTTGGCTTTGCTCAGACAGCGATGATTCTGGCCAGGCAGCTCGCCGCAATTGGCACAGATGTTCAGCGCCGCCTGACTGGGACCGGGCGATGTCGGTGTGATTGACTGTGTCGGAGTTGCTGTTCCTGTTGCCGTTCCTGTTCCTGTTGCTGTTGCTATCGGTGCTGGCATCGTATTGTGCTTGTTGTGCAGGTGATTTTTGAGCGCGCGCTGATTGCGCAGCTGCTGGCCACAGATGCTACATGTATAGGGCTCAGCGGCTGGCAGGGAGCAGGAGGCGGGCGCCACAGCCACTGATGTGCTGCAAGTGAATGAGGAACAGTTCAATTGTGGCTTTGTTCCTGGATTAGCAAAGGATTACCCACCTGCTTTGACTATTTAACGTTGCTGTTGCTGCTGCTGCTGCTGCAGTGTTGGTGCTGAGGCTGCCGCCGCTGCTATTGTTGGCACTCGTGCTGACCGCTGCCATCGACGTCAGCAGCTGCTCCTGATGATGCTGCTGCATAATTGTGGCGCACAGCTGCTGCTGTTGCTGCGTGGCTGCTGCCACCACAGCGGCCACCGCATTGTAGTTGGCCAGCAGCAGTTCGTTCTCCTTGCATGTCTGCAGCTCGGTCGTCTTCAAGCGCTTCTCGCGAGGATCGGGCGGTGCCTCCTCGTTGCTGCTGTCCTCGCTGACGCTGCCACTGCGCGTCGTGTGCTCCACCTTCTTGGGCAGATGCGTCTTGCGGCGGCTGGAGCGGGTCACTCGCTTGGCGGCTGGCAATGGACACGCCGGCGCCTTAGCCATCGTCAGATTGATCGCTTCCATCGGCTCGCACTTGATGGCAGCAATGCTGGGTGGCACCAGCGGCGCTTGCGGTGGCGGTGGCTGCTGCGGCTGTGGTGCTGCTAAGGCAGCTGCAGCTGGAGCTGGAGTTGCAGCTGGAGTGGCATCGGAAGTTTCTAATTTGACTGTCGGCTTGAGCTCAGTGGACGGCACATTGAGTGCATCCATAAGCTTGTCGCTATTGTCCCCATTGGTGGTTCGCTGGATTTGGACATTGTTGTTGCTGTTGATCTTGGCTGATTCGCGGTCGGCGCGCGCCTTTTGCCACTGGATGTTGTGTTTGGTCTTCACATGGGTGTACATGTTGGATCGACAGCGAAACGCCATGTTGCAGTAGGCGCATGCAATGGGACGATCGCCCGTATGCGTGGCCACATGCTCCTCGAGATAGCGGCGCATCTTGAAGGACTTGTCACAGAACATGCAGGGAAACTTGTGGGCCGCGGCCGCTGCCTTGGGATCGACCTTAAGGTAAGATTCGTGAAATTCGGTTTCATCTTTGACATCGTAAACTGCTGGCGTATCATCGCCGACCGCCTCCTGCTCAAGGTCTGGGTCGGCGTCCTGCTCGTAATCGACTAGGGATAACGGGTGCTGCATCTGCTGCTGCTCCGCATCTCCCTCCTCGGACCAATTAACGTCGCAGTCAATCTCCAAGAACTGGCTGCAGAGCGTTGTCTGCTTATGCTCCACCAGCTTCCAGAAGTTGTGAAAACTCTCCAGTTGCGCACGGCAGTCCGTGCAAATGGATGTGGAAATGGCATCGTCGCGCGACAGCTGAATGAAAAAACAATAGGAAAATTGTGTTAGAGCAGGACTCAGTTCAAGGCGGCGGCAATCGTGTGCTCTGCACACAGATCGACTTACGCATAGATATAAATGCGTTGATATCAATTGAACCAAATAGTTTTCCGGTATTGTCTTGTTGTCGCTGTTAGATGCCTCGTTGTCGCCGCCAGTGAAGAGCAGCACGGTGTTCTGCTCGTTCAATGGGTTCAAGCACAAGCGACAAATCATTTCGTTAGCCAACTAATCGAATTTTAACAACATTTGCACTTCATTAACATCTATTTTATTTATTTCCAAATTGCGGATGGATCTAGAGCTGGCAGTACTGCTGCCCACAATATATCGATTCCTCACACTTACCACACCACACAGCTATCGATAGCACGTTGCGACCGTGAGCTACAAAAAATACTAAAATACACTTTTTCTTACCCTCGTAGATATATTTTTGAATTTTACTTTTGCGCTAAACAAATCAACAAACAAACAATATATTATTATATATTCGACTTGGGGCTAGTGGGTATGATGACGTATGGGAAATACTATGGTCGATAAGTCTCCGCCATTAGCTAGAACTTCGTAATGATAATTCCTGTGTACAGCTACCATAACCTTAGAATCGAACGGTACATTTATACAATTGAATCGGAAATTTGGGTACTTTGATAGCGCCGGGACCATATCATAGCCCTCCGATAGCTTGTTGGTCCAAATCGAAATCGTATCGAACTGAAGACCCTCACGATTGCAAAGTTTGATCGCTTCACCGAGAGTCCGAAAGGTATTTAGCGTAACAATAGCCGTGGGCTTATCGCCAAAATAAATTTGGGGGAAATCTAGGACTACAATTGGCGAATGCGGCTGTCTAACACCATTTGGCCTTTTGTCAACTGGATCATATTCTTCCATAAAAAGAGTTCTGCAATTGAGTCGTTCTATCACCTTGAGAGTATTCAAAAAATTTGGATGAGTTTCTATGCGCTCGTCCATTAGTTCCATGCGGTTACGGAGTCTTCGAACAATTGCCTGACGCAGTGGCTCCTGCACCAGTACGCTGGTCACCAGCCCGACGCCAAACGGATGCTTTAGATCCCTAATGACCGTATCAACAACTTGACTCAGATTTCCGGTCGCGAACAGAACTATAATTTGCGGCTGCACCCATTTCTTGTGGGTGCCATTTTCTGGATAGAGATAGACGTGTCGCTTCTTCAAATGAGAGAAGATATCGTCCACACCCTCGACGATATTCGGCAAGCCTTTGAAGCGCGGCAAGATGTCGGCATCCTCATCCGTCTCCTTATCCGCACCGCCCCCGTGATCACCCATTTATTATCTTCTAAGTTGCCCTACAAAAAAAAAAAAAAAAAGAGCCAAAGAAAATCAGCTATAATTGTATACATAAAAGTTATAAAAACGTTAGAGAAATTGAGTGAAAATGAAATGGAAAATGAAAAATGAAAAACGTAGACGTTAAGCAAACAGCTTAGCCTAACACATCATTTCTATCGGCTCAAAGGAAAGTCTCAGCCAGCTTCCGCTTCCTGGTCAGCATGTGCACACATGGCCTCATAATTAAAATACTTTCGCTGGTCAAAGTTGCCATTCACCGGAAAAACGCACATTCACACAAGCGGACGGACAGGCGGACAGACAGACAGATTGCTGCTGGTGGTGAATTTGCATGGCTTACGAGAGGACATATGGGGTATGATTGAGTTCGTTTCAATAGGTGATGCATCAAATATAAATGGGGAAATTTATTTAAAGCATATACTATATATAGTCGAATAAGTTTGTATATGTTTAGAGTGTATAAAAAGCTAAGCGGAAATAGCTTTGCTTTGTTCGTAAGGATTTTTTTGTGGTATCACATCATGAAGATGTGAAGTGGTATATCACCGTAGTAGTATGCGTATGTGTATAACAGATTGGCTTCCCTAAACACATAAATAGGATATTTCTGCTTCATTTTTGTGGGGTATATCTACATGTCGGCCTTTACAAAAATAAATTAAAAATAGCCTATTTACGTGTTTAGGGGAATTTATGTAACGTATGTGTGTGTGTGTAATAGAATAAGTTTGGATATGTAGGGTAGGGTAGGTAGGCATAGAACAGGAAATATTTGATTTTTATATTTAGGGAAATTTATGTAATATATCGATGTCAATAGTATTAAAGGACATTTATTTAATTATTTTTTAAAGGGAAATTTTGTAGAATAAGAAATCATTTGATGTGTGTAGGGTATACAAAAACTTAAGTTCATATATATTTTTTGTGTTTTTGGGGAATTTACTTATATAGTATATATATATTTTATGGAAACGGATATATATGTATGGCATGTATGATACAGTAGACTCTTGCTATTTCAAACTTGCGTTATTTCGAACCTCTCATTAATTCTAAGCTATCACTCAGTAATTCGAACTAAAAATCATTGCTAAGACGCGGTAATTCGTACTCATATGGTTAAACACTCGACAATTCGAAATATTTTAAGAGTCCCTTGAATTTCGAAATAACGAGAGTCGACTGTATATAATTTGCTTGGTTTTACGTTTGATGCTTAGATAGCTTAAATAATTAATAATCGAATAGTTTTTCATTGATGGATCAGCACAGATAAATCTTTAATTGACATATTTTTTTGTATTATTCTTACTTTTTGCTGCACTTAGGGTATGCACGCTTCGACTACATCGTTGTTTGTTTCGTTGGTTGTCTTGCCTCGTTTGGTAGGGATGCGGAAGCGAAACAGCATGGCTGTCTGTTCATGTGTGTGCGTGTGTGTGTGTGTGTGTGCTCGTTTGCTGTCTGCCCTTTTGTGTGCGTGTGTTTGTCTGTGTGTGTGGGGGAGTGTGCATGCTCGTGTGTATAAATAGCCGAGCGAGCCGCTGGATTCACTAAGATTGGCTGCTTCGCTTCAGAGAGACGCCGCCAAAGCTCGTTCGCAGGGCAGTCGCGCGCAGTCGGCGCCCGCAAATAGGCAACGCATAATTTGGGATTATAATTTGAGCTGTTTGGCAGCCGAGTTGACAGTTAGTTTATTTATTTATTTTCGTTTCGCTGCTGTTGTTGTTGTTGTTCTTGCTGTTGGCGTTATTTGGTGAAGAAAACATGCGAGCAGAACTATAGCGCTGCAATATGGAGATGTCGGGCTATCAGGATATAAGCGCACTCGAAAAATCGGTAAAACGAAAAGGAAAAATATCCCAATATGTACATATAAAAGTGCAAAATGAATAATTTGTAGGTGGCCAATGCTGGCAGCCAGCTGTATACGATGGCCCACAAACTGCACGCCGTGGAGCGCAGCCTGGACCAGACGGCCATGGAGCAGATGGACGAAATGGAGGTGATGGAGCTGCTCGAGTCGATGACCGAGGTGAAGAACGAGTACCAGAATCTGCGCAAGGACATACAGGAGGTGCAGCAACTGCAGCGTGACGTCAGCACGTCCATACGCTACCAAATGACCAACATGCAGCAGACATTCCAAATGCTAAAGAAACGCATTGCCAGCACACAGCAGAGGCGTCGCCATCCACGGGATCAGCTGCCGGGCCCAGCCCCAGTTGCGGCCCATCCCCACTGAGGCAAAGCAAACGGTGTGCAATGTGCATGTGTATATGTGTGTGTGTGTGTGTGTGTGTTAGTGGGTGTGGTATAGTATGGATGTAGTGTGTGGTGTAGTGTAGTGTAGTGCTGTAGAGGACGTAGCTTTTGACCTTTGCAGACTGTTTATGAATTTTATATGATTTTGTTGATTATTGATTTTGCTTGGGTTAATTCAACGGAAATCAAAATGGAGCAAAAAAAAAAACAGCCCTATATTAACACAATATTTAGAATTAAATGCAAATATCCTGTGGAGCGGAGGAGCGCGGGGCGGGTGGGGTTTAACCTGTTGCAATACAAATCTAATGGCCTACACAAAAACACCTATGGAAATCGTGTCAAATTGTGGATGTATTCCTGATAACTAACTGATAACATTTTTTTACTGTCATATGTCTAAGCAATCAAATTAACACACAACCATATATCAAGAGGTAACAGCTACGTTTTTTTTTTTTTTAATATATACACACAATACAAATCTTAACTCCTTGACAAAACGCACACTTATATACACAACTATATATATATATACATATACATATATACATACATCTATGTAAGCAATTTACTCGAAAACTCTAAATACTTTATAATGCAAATCCAAAATGTCTGATACCATTTGAAAAGCATGCACTTTTTCAAAACAAAACAAATTTGCCTTAACATAATAACCATATTATACTAATTTTTGATATATACGTATTTTAATATTAAACTTAAGCTTATCATTTCTATTACAATGATGGGCCTTTGAGCAATTTTTTTTGTTTGTTTTTGTTTTTTATATTTGTTGTTGTTAAATTGTATAAGAAATCCAAGTAAGAAGCACACAAAAATAAACAAACCCAAAAACAACGAAACTACTTTTTAAATGCGCGCCAAATACGTTTGCGATATTGCAAATACTTACAACGCGGCTATCGATATACAATAATTATAAATAGGAAAAGGCATATTGAGCCGTGTATTTTTGCGCACTGGGCTAATAATTTATAAATAGCAGTTTAAATTGAATAGGAAAAAATATTTGTCCATTTTATTTAATTTCATATACGTAACGAGATTTATGTATTCGATAATTCACGCAACCGCCCCCATCGGTTCTTATCGATATATATCTTTATTGGAGCAGCTGATTTGAGCACTTCTGATTCTTGCGCCAAAATACGAAATAAATGTTGCGCTACTTTTGCGCCATGGCTCAAATTTATTTAGACTATAGAGGTTTGAATATTAAACAATTAAGTTTCATAGCTGGCGCACATGAGTAAATACTTTTCACTACACTCTTAACGATAGATTTCTATTTCAGACAGAATTTACATGGAATAGCCGGATCAAAATTAAAATAATACGGTACGGTATTCAGCGCAGTGTGCCCACACTACTTATTGAAATGAAAATACTAACAAGTTTGTATTTGTCGCAGTGCATTACTATAATTGTAATTTAAACTGAATTAAATATATATATGTATATCTATTTTTTTTTTAAATAAATGATGAAGAGAAATTTTAATTTGAATGGAAGAATGGTGTAACATTTAGTTTGTTAATTTTACATTATGTAGATGCAATCGTTTGCAAATTTTATATGAATTGGTAGGGTATATTAGTTTATTAAAGATGTGCTAAATTGTTTTAGTATTCCTGTAAAATATACTTGGTGTATTTTATATCGATTGCATAGGATCGATAGTTTTTTGAACATGGCACGTTTCTAGTATTTTTGTTGGGATTCTACGGCTTCTCAGTGAGGGCCACACGATCGTCAGTTTGGGTTTTCTACAAGAGTCAGTGCTTCGCTTTGTCGCTCGTTGACCTGTGTTTTTGTTGAAAGTTCGTTAAATTTTTGTTTATACTTTTTTTTTGCATCTATTGAGTGAATATTTGGTTGTTTTGTGAGCAGTAGCTTCGGCAGCAAGTGAAAAAGATATACATTGGCATGTTGTTAAATTAAACGACTGTGCCGTTGCAACATCACACACAAATACACCTACAATTTGTTGCAAGTCGTTGCGTGCCGTCACAGCCAGCAGTCGTCGCACAAACACTCACACACATGCGCAACCACTCACGCACACATACAGCGACGCATGCGCTGCAGCATTTACAAGTTTGTGCATGAGCGCAGGTGTTTCTTCTGTTTCTCCTTCGCGTGGTTCGGTTATATTCATTATTTTTGTTTTGTCGTGCCGCCAGTTCGCTGCGATCCCTTGACGAGTGCGCGAGTTTTGTGCGTGGCGAGTCGCGAGTGAGTTTTCCAGTTCGGAAATTTAACGGAAACCGGCCACGCTTTCATCATTATCATCGTCGCTAACTTAACACAGAGAAAGAGAGCGAGAAAGAGAGAGATAAATAAGTGCATGGCCGTTAAAAATTTCGCAAGCTCTGCAAATACGTATACGAATATCATTTGATTTTTTGTTTTGTGTTGTTTCAAGTGTTGCACCAAACAAAATATCTAGAACTAATTAAAAGTTGAACACCGACATATAAATACAACAACAACAACAACAACAAAAGCATTGACGACAACTGGACTAACGAGAAATTGTTGCTCGGTAAGTTTGATTTGCTGTAAAAGGGGGTGGAGGCTTGTGCAATACACGCATAGACATGTACGGACATGAACGGACATGTTCAACGTCGTCGTGCGTCGTTACATGTCGCAGCATAAAAACAAAAAAAAAAAAAAAAAACAAAACAAACAGACAAAAAAAAAAAAAAAAAAAACTTTCACTATGGGCACCCCAATAAAGACTTGTTGAAGCGTGCATGGAAAGCTTCAGTGCGATTATTTTCAATTTTAACTTTTTTAAGGGAGTGCTCTATACATAGTAGCTGAAATAAATTATACTTTTACTTACATATACAAACATATATTAGTTTATATACAAGTAATTACAATGCATCAATTATGTATTCATGGAGCAGCGCAGTTTATAGAGAGTATTAAAAAACAATCTTGATTACTATTTTATTAATTAATTAGTACATTTTATATTAATATAAAATAGTACAAATATTTGATAATCATTAAAGCGTTACAGCTAGCTGGAGCTAATTACATTTTTAATTTTTTAAATAATAAACAAAAATTAGCTACATGTTTTGCAATATTAAATAAAAAAATTGTAATAGGAAATTGGAAGTACTATTAAATATAGTAAAAAAAAAATAAACTAAATGTTTATTTTATTTTATTTAGAATAATAACAAGTAATAAATTAAACCAAATGCGCTCAAAGCACTCTTTAACAAAAAAAGAATTCTTTAAAATAAAAAAAAGGAAAATAATTAAAAATAAAACTAGATATATATTTAAATACACTTTCTAATGTATACGAGGATATACATATATTTATATATATATTAATATAAAGAACCATATTTTTGTAATTTGATTACTTTATAGTATATCCATTACGTATAATTACGTAATTACGTAAGCCGTAGCTTGGTAATGCTAAAATTATTTCTTCAAGCATTATTTTACAAAATAAACAATGCCTCCAGCTGTGTAGTTATTTTTCTTATATACACACACACACACAGAGAAACATTTGTATTATTGTTTTTATTTTTTATTTTACTGTAATCAATGTTTTCATTCCTTCTTCTTCCTCTGAAGTGCTTTACTGCAATTTCTCTGCCACACACACACACATACACACTTTGCCCATTATACCTGGCTTGTCAAGATGATGGAATAACGGGATTTCAGTGAAAACCAAATCATATAAAAATATGAAAAATATATAATTAAATATTTCAGTTTTATCTCTGCCTCTACCACACACGCTCTCCCACTTTCTCCCTTCATCCTGCTCTGCCACGCCCCGCTCTCGATCTCTCTTTCTGGCTTCCCCGTAATAGTGTGCAGGTAGAGCACTACTACTACTACCACAACTTGCTCGCTCGTCCGTCTGCCAGGTAGAAACGGTAATTGTGCCACCAGGCGAGGTGGCAACAGAATGAGCTGCCGCATGTGTTGCATGTGTTAAATTGTTTCGTACCTGGGCACTGATTCTGTCGCTTTCTTTGTTCGCTCGCTCGTTCGCGCCGGTTCCTCTTGCACCTTTATTGCCTAGTTTGCCACACATAGCTATGGATATCCACTCGTATATCCGCTACCTTCTGCAAATTGTAATCTGGGTTTTGCTGCCTCAAGTTGCATCACTCGCAGACCTTCGATTTGCAATAAATTCTCGCAAAAGGGTATTGAATATTTATAATGGGTATCGTGGTATCGTTTACAACTGACCCAAATGAAGGATTTCCGATCATATACGGAAAATGTATATAGATATTGCTAGCCATGACTGAGGCAGAATTCGAAACGGTAATCGAACCAGTGCATTGAGCTCTATTGATTGAATGAAATCTCCCATAAAACAAAAACAAGTTTCTATTGATTGATCATATATGTATTTATATTAACCTCAGAGCATAAATAAAAGCATAAAGTAAAGTCGAAACTTTTCAAGAATATGCTTTCTTACAGCACCAAAAACTATGTAAGTGAATTAGAATAGTTCCAAAAGTAGATTAACTATTACCCACGGACACCTTAAAGATAAGAGCTCTAAAGAGTATACTTTAGATATACAAATTACAAAAGTATCTGAATCAGTTAAACATAGAATTTAGGGTATTTGCAGGTCGATCACTTATAAAAATAGCAGCATTGCCATTTACTCTTAGTGGGATTTAGGGTATTTGCTAGTCGAGCTCCCTCAAAAAACTGCAAATTAAGCCTGCTCACTTACGCTTCGAGTTCAGGGTATCTGCTAGTCGGTCACCCTAGAGATTTTTTACATATAGTAACCCACTCGAATTCTATAAAAGTCAACACGTTTTGCAGCTTATGGCTTATTGTTTTGAAAGTGCATCGCTAGACCACGAGATACGGGGACTACAGCTTGCACCTTTTAACACGTGAAACTAAATAACAACCGTTTTCGCAAGGAAAAACTCGAATAAAACAAAATAATAAAAAATAACAAAGACGAGAAAATGAAAAACAAAAACACTTGAACAAAAAACTAAACAATTGTTCGGTCAGTTGGTCCATTGAATTGAATTTGAAAAAAAAAAAGAAAAATAGTGAACAAGATGGAATAGAACTTATATTGTGACACACTGTATAAAATGTCTCTGTCTTTCTCTCTCTCTATATATAGTCTCTCTAGCTCGCTATAAATTCAATATACTTCCTTGGTAGCTGCATAATACTCATTCAAGGTCAGAACGCTGCTAAATTTATTTTCCGTTTTGCCACGCCCCCTATTCGTACATACATATATTATGGTTGCAAATCATTGAAGGATATCAACAGTCATATAAAAGTCAGATTTTGAGTATTTGGCTGTAAAACCCCAACTTCCATGAGCTGCTGGAAAAAAACATCTTTCGATTTGCAGATAATTCAAGGGTATACACGGGTATACATGTTTCAAAAACTCTAGTGGCACAAAACCAATATACTCACTTCACTTTTGTGAATCAGCATAACAAGGTATTTCAAATATGTTTAGGAATCTGACATCGTGTTCAATGCTTGTTGCCCTCTCGATTTGAATGAATGCAAATATCTATTTCGCATGCTATTTGAAGCTGACATTAAATAGTTTTCCATTTTACGGTTGGAGAAGAGAATATCCTCTATGTAATTATGCATGCCAGCACAGTCGAGGGTATCGGGCAGAGGTCACAAAACAACAACAAAACAAAAACAAACAAGAAAAATAAAGATGGAAAATCCAGACGATCCGAGACGAAATATATATATACATATATATATAGGTATGTATGTACAAACTAAAAGCCGGATGGATTAAATTGGGATTTATGCACAAACGCACTCGTGAACCTAGCAACACACACACACATACATATATAGATAAATATATACACATATATATGTATATGCTATGTGTATGTGTATGGTCGCCTTCTAGCTTTACCGTTGCCTCGCACACCTACCCTTGGGCAGGTTCACAGTTTTTACATTTCTCCGGCGCTGTCTCATTTTTCGGGGCAGATAAAAATGTTGAAACAGTAACCAAGGTAATTCCCAGGAGGCACAGCCAGTAAAAATGGCAGGATAACTGTGACTTACACATATACACACAGACACACACATGCTCATTCCCCAAACAAGAATGTATGGCTGTGTATGGGTGTCTGTGTGTGTGTGTGTGTGTGTGTGTGCGTTTGGAGCTGCAACTTTCTAGCTCTCATTCTGAGATTTACAGCATTTGCAACCGCACCAGGGGCATGGTCAAGTGGGTACACATGCCACAGAGGGGTCGGGTGCTCTGCCAGGAGGTGCGGGAGGTGCGGCTGTGTCAGACGGGGGGGTAGGCGGTTTGTTTGCGATGCCAGCGTATGCACTTTTTATGTTAGTCAGCAAATTGGACGGCGCTTTCCGCACATTTTGTTGCAGCATGCAAAGTTGGGCCACAGCTTGCCCCCGGAAAGCCTGCTGCAAACACTGGTTAAAACCACTGTAAACAGAGACAGAGACACAGAGAGTGGGAGAGTGTGCGTGTGAGTGTGTGAGTGTGTGAGCCAGGGCAGACATAACACAACAGCATAAAGTATCACGAGATATGAGTTATGTTTAGCCCTGCTTGTTGTGATTGTTGCATCAGTAATAAAGTGAGCACTGCACATGGCAGAGACTGCTCGACGCAGCAGATTATCGCTTGATGCGGCTTTAACATGGCCAACTACTGCTAACTGGCATTGCTCTTGATTTTGATTGCCAAATCTCACACAGAATTCTTGCACACATCTCTCCTTTCTCACTGGCCAATTAGCATCAATCAATTTTCATAGTTCGCACTGACCCAAATGTTTCCTGGACAATTGACATTTTCTCCAGCAGCTGGCTTGACGCCTAACCCTGACCGGTGCACAGTGGGGCGAAACATGACAGAAAACAGAACAGTGCTTCACTCTCTTAATGCCACCTAACCGATAATTACGAAACAAGTCTGGGGAAAAAAATGCTGAGCTCTTTTCAAAACTTATATATTTTTTTTTTGGTATTTAAAAAAGACGAAAATTCATTCATTTTCATATTTGAAGCACGTAGTATTTCAACAAAATTCGCTATTTCATGTTTGCCAGGCAACTGTGCGGCACCCTGTTAAAGAATCACCCTGTGCTTAGATTCATAAAATAAAATTTTAAAGCTCATTTGTTATATTTAGTTGACATAATGATTTTTGTCACAAAAAAGTGAAAACCACCCACTGTTCGATGTTCAATAGCTTAATATATTTCCGTCTCTCTCTAGCTCTCTTCTCACATACGAGTGACCTTCTTTATTGGGCCCGAAATTAAAGGAAATTTGTCTTCGTTTAGACAACTCAGACAACTTTTCGGAAAATGCAAATATTTATATATAAATTAACTTGGTTTATATTTACATATTTATATTCCATATTTTTATATGTATTTTAAAATAACAGAAAATCTGTTTTTTTGTTTTGTTTTTTAAATATTAAAGCAAAGCCTTTAGACAACTTTTCGGAAAATGAAAACATTTATA